TAAACGTCCAGATTATGATAATAGCATCCTAATCCAGCCTGCAATATAATTATTACAGAGTGTTACATCTGAAACTGTCCAGTAGGGCTAATTCAGCCATTATTTAGACCCTATTTTTGCACTGCAAATGGGTTGCTGAGTTGAAAATGTACGATTGTAATTTCACGGGGCACTCAATGAGTAATGGTATAGGGAGAGAAAAATACAAAAGTGAAATGTGAACAGTAGCGATCAAATCAAACTCTGAAGGACAAAAGACTGTTTGATTCATAGGGAATGAGAAGAGCGGGAATTAAGAAAATAGCAAATCAGTGGTCTGCAGCGTTACGTGTCCAAATCTCAACGAGTGCGAGCCTGATGTGCAGGCAGGGGCCGATGCTGCGGGCTCCCGCCTGCATCCGTCCGCCTCTCGGCTCGGCTCTTCCCGGCAGGCTCTCCCCGGTGCCCGAAGGAGCCCCGGGCTCGCCCCCACATCCCCAAAAGCGGGCTCGCCCTTCTCGTGTGCCTCCTCTCAGGTGGCGGAGAGCCACTTTCGGGCAAGAAGCCTGGGAGCCTCGGCACCGGGCGGGGGGAGGGTGCGGGACGCGGCGTGCGGGACGCCGGGGCCGGGCACCCTCCGCCCGAGGCTGCGGAGCCCGCGGCCTCTTGCGCTCCCGCGCACCCGCTGGACCAGTCGTCAGGGGTCCTTAAGGAAATTATCACAGAACCGACTCAATTGTAATTAATTAACCGAAAGAGCCTGGCTAACAGGACTACCTGCAGCTCGCGAGGTTAACTCATTGGGCTAGGTCGCTTTCCACTCCTGATTAGCTTTTATTAACCCTGGACACGAAATACACAAACCCGCTTCATTTTTAATGGCCCAAATCATCAAAGCGCTGCTGCTGCCCCGCCGGCAGGTACCGGCGGGGTCCGGGTGCGGGGGGGGGGGCGCAGCGCCCGGGGCTGGCCCCGTGGCCAGGAGGGGTGCTGGCCCCGTGGCCAGGAGGGGTGCTGGCCCCGGCCCTCGCTGGCCTCCCCCGGCTGCAGCCGCGCCTGGCAGCCCGCAGCCTTCCTCTGCGCGCTTTTCTCCGCGGGAATTAATACAAAGAACGCGAAGAAAGGGAAAAGAAAGCTCAGTGGATACCGCGAGGTGAAAGCCCTATAAAACGCGTTATATGGTGCACAGCGAGGAGACTGTAAAGATTGCCTGGGATGGAGGGCCAGCTCCGCAGTCAGGCAGGCGATGCCGCTGCAGAGCACGGAGCCAAGTCAGGATCCGGCCCGGCGAGGCTCGCCGAGCTCTGCTGCGAAGCCCAGGCTGAGGTTTAGGCAACCTCTCCGGCAAAGCCGAGGGGCAGGCAGCAGCGGGAGGAGAGCGAGGAGCCATCCCCGGGCTCCTCCTTGCCAAGTGCTGAATCAGTCGCGGCTTCTGGCCGGGCCCGGCTCCCCGGGCCCTCACCTAAAGGGAAATAAGGAGGCGAGGGCGCCTGGGAGTTTTGGCCGCGGCCTTGAAGGTCGTGTCCCTGGAAGGTGTTCACAGAGACACCCTGGGGGGGGGGGTGTGAGTGTCGGGGTTTATCGGGTCTGTATTCCTGGCAGATAAACCATTGATTATCCTCCCAAATGGCATGTGAACAGACGCACCGCCGAACAAAGAGCAGAAAGATTTAATTGATGTAACACAGATTCTCCCTAAAAAAAAAAGGGGGGGAGAGAGAAAGGGAGGCTTAACGTAAACTCCGCCGCTCCGATTTTCACGGCTCTTGTCTGACCTATAAAACAGGTTATTGCGTTACTGCAGGCAACCGCTCAAATGACTGAGAGCGAGAAGAGGGGCTTCTCCCCCCAACCCCGACTTTCCTGCAGCAATAGCTCTCCTTGCCGTGATCCACGACCGAGCCACCTAAAGTCTGTCAGTCGCCAAATCGCGTGTAGAAACCTTTAATCGATGCCACATGTGCGGCGCACGTTGGGGACACAGCGCTGCCGGCGGCGGAGCGGGCAGCGCCCGGAGGCCCGCGCAGGCAGCGCGCGCCGCGGGGGGATGAATTTATGGGGGAGACCGAAGGGGGCGAGAGAAATGCCTGACGAGCGGGCTGCCTTGACGCGGTGACAGGTTGGAGGGGGTGGTTTTTTCCTTCCCCAGGGAAGAGGGGGAGGGAAACCGGGTGGCTTAGCGAGGAGGCAGCCCTCCCCCGGATGGAGGCTCTTCCCCGCCGAGCGGTGCGGAGGTGCCCGGGCAGGGAGCAGCGGGGGCGGGGGGGGGGCTCTTTGGGGGAGCGGGGGGGGGGGGTCCCCCGGTGTCCGTAGGTGGGGGTGGCGGGCAGTCAGCTCTGTGTGTGTGTGTCTGGGTGTGGGGGGTGTGCGTGTGCGCCCCGTCCGGGGGCGAGCGCAGTGCGTGTGTGTGTGTGTGTGTGTGGGGATGGATCTGCTGTGGGTGGGAGAGCCCCAGGGGTGCGGGCAGTGTCAGGAGCTCTCGATCTGGGGCAGCTGGGGCTGCAGGCAGCTCTGTGTGTCTGTGTGTGTGTGTCAGGCCCTGTGGCTCAGCCCTGGAGCCGGCTCTGCACCCACAGGAATGTGGCTCCTCTCGGCTCCCCGAGCTGCCCCGGCTCCACATGGAAGTGGCCGCCAGGAAAAGGGAAGGGAGGGGAAGAGAGAGGGGGAGGAAAATAGAAAAAAAAAAAAAAAAAAAAGCCCCGAGCCAGCAATCCGCCGAGCCCAAACCCAGCGTCAGACAAAGGACAGTTCATCCCATCCCTTTCCCGGGGAGGCAAGGGGGGAGGCCCGGACAAGCCAGGCTCCCTCCGACCGCCGCCGGAGCCCCGGGGGTGCGCCCGGGCGGGGAGAGGCGCCGGGGTGCGCCTGCCTGTGCGTACGGGGATGGGAGCATCCCCCTCAGCCCGGGGCTCTGACGGAGGGGCGGGCGGCTGGAGACCCTGGGTGCGCGTTGGGGTCGGGGCCACGGCGACGGGGAGCCTCGGCGAGGGGCATTGCCTAACCGGGCCTGGCTACCCTCTCCCGGGAAGGGGTGCCAGGCTCTCCCCGACCTGCCCACCACCACCCCGAGCCGGGAGGAGGAGAAATTCAGCAGGGAGAGGGACCGGCGTGGAAACCGAGCGGAGCTGACTCGGCTGGCCCGCAGAGGAGAGCGGTGCCAGAGCCGCCGGAGCCCAGGCTGCCCGGCCAGCGCCGGCAGAGTGAATTCTCATCCCTGCCCGGCATCCTGCCTGCCGGCATCCCGCCTCCCCGGAGCTGTTCCTGCGCTGTCCGCCGGAGCCCTCCCGGCCCCTGCAGGTTACCGTAACCAAACAAACAGCCCCGCGGCAGCTCCTCAAAGAAAAGGGTGGGTGGACCGACCTGGGAAACAGACCTCCAGCTCTTGTGTCCGGGCCTTTCTGCAAAGGGAAGGGACCTCGGGGAGGGGAGAATCTCTTAATGCAGGTTGAAAAAAAAAAATTAATGCTTGTCTAGCGGGAAACGAGGAAAAGAACGGAAGAAAATGAAAAGGCCGGGCTGCTTTTTTGCAGGGGGTGGAAGTTAGCAGAAGAGACAAAGCCGAGCTTTTCAGCAGCCCCAGAGTCGCGGAAAATCCCCGAAACCTTGCGGGTGAAATGAGCAGGAGCCGGTGCCCAGAGCCGCTGCGAGGACGCGGGGAGCGGCGGGGCACCGGCGGCAGGGCGGCCCGCTAGCCGGCAGCGGGCAGGGGTGGGCAGCCGGCGGCAGCCCCCGCCGCCCTGTCTCCGGCACCCACGCAGCCCTTCCCGGCGTGCAGGGAGCAGCTTTACCCAACAAGCTGGTCTATTGTACTGCAAGCCATTTACCAACCCCCAAACCTGTTACAAAACAGCAACCCCGGGCTTCTTTCTTCGGGGAGAAAACACGCGCACTCACACTCACGCACACGCACAAAACATGGCAGGCAGGAGCGGAGGGAGAAGAAAGGAGGGGGAGGGCAGCGGGGAGGAAGACTAGAGACAGGTAAGTGCACCCCAGGGCAGGAGCGTGCCTTTTCAGGCCTCGCTCCCAGCCCTGCCAGCGCTCTCCCCGCCGTCCTCGGGTGGCAGGGGGTAATTTTCTATCTCGGGGATCCTTCAAGCGACGCCTTTGTCACATTCGCCGCTGCTGCCTCACCCCGCACGGCCGTGAATTCCCAGCGCGGCTCCCCGCTCCCCCCTCCCACCCCGTGACGGCCGGGGAGAGGCGGGGGGGGGGCCCACGGGAACGTGCGCCGCCGTGGGGGCCCCGCGGGCCGGTTGCTGCCGGGGAAAGCCCGGGGTTTCTGCTGGGAGAGGGGCCCACGCTCCGTGTGTGCCGCCAGCTGAGTGCTGCGCGGCCGCGGGCGCCGCCGCGGCCACCTGGCCGAAGCCGTGCCTCCGGCACCGGGCAGCGCTCGCAGAGGCTCCGCCACCCGGCTTTTTCCCTAAATCGTGTAGAGAAGAGATTTAAAAAAAGAAAAAAAAAAAAGTACCTCTGCAAAGTCCCTCCTTCAGCTGGAGCCGCCGCAGGCTTTTACCAGGAGGAAGGGGAGCGGGGCCCTCATTTTATCCTTTTCTCATATTTTAGTGGCTCCCTTTGACGGAAACGTAATTTGTGTAATTAGCCGAGCGCACACGGGCGACTGATGGGCTGTGGAGTGTGCAGCTCTCGACGCTAATTGCTCTCAGGAAAGGATTCAGGGCGGCTTAAGGCGAGATATTTGCTTTCTAGCGTCAGGATGGGCAGCTTTCGCTTCAGCTTAAATCACTGTGCGATAAGGTGTACACGGTCTTGCAAAAGCCCTTTTTCCAGCGGGGAGAGAGCATCGCCGCCCCTCGGCTCGCCCATGGGGACCTACAAGGGACAGATCCTGCCAACACGCCCCGGCTCCGGTGGCACGGCATGGCGACCGAATGTGAGCTCCCAGGATCGGGCCCCTCAAAATCCCTCTTTCCTCGCTCGCTCTCTGCAAGCAAACTGGCGTTATTTTTTTTGCCCCCCTCTTATTAATAGAAGAAGGGGTAATTTGGAAACGTTTCTCGTGGTCGAAATAATTTTATTTTATTCAGAATATACAGTTTAATTCCTCTATCTACAATTATTTACAGGGTTAAAATAACATTGAAAAAAAGTCTCTGGAAAAGTTGAGGTCATAGATTTCAAGGCACCATTGATAGTGTCCACAGCTGAGCCAAAAAATGTCCGTATTGTATAAAAAAGGGTTTCCTTTGAAATGCAATAAGTTACATGCACAAGCTTTACACATTTTAATCTTTTTGTTTGTTTCTTTTCCCTTTAAAAATCCCCCATATGCATTCCTTTCGTTATTATTCCTTAACAGTAAAACACAGGAGTCAAAGGAAAAAAAAAAAAAAAAAAAAAAAAAAAAAGAAGGGTCAGACTCTAATAAATTGTCCCAGAGGCCAGCGCTAACGGGTGCTGTAGGGAGCCGTGGGGTTGGAGGTGGGAGTTGATGGAGTTGGCAGCGGGGTACCAGGAAGCGGAGCTCTCCAGGTAGCTGGATGCAGGGGACGGGTTGGAGTTTGGAGGGTGAGCGTGCGCGTGGGCATGGTGGCTGAGGGAGCGGGACGAGCCCTGAGGTTCCCAAACCGCCGGCGACTGTGGAGAGTTGCAGGCCATGGGGTCGCTGGAGCTGGGGCTGTGCTCCGGGGGCATCTCCCCGTTCTTCATGATCTTCTTGATCTTGGATCTTTTATTCTGAAACCAAATTTTCACCTGGGAGGGGGGCGGGAGGAGAGGAGAGGGGAGGAAAGAGGGAGGGCGGAGGGAAACCGACACCATTAATGCCCGCCTGGCAAGCCGGCGCTCCGCGGCTGCGAGGGACCCGCTTCCCGCCACCCTCCCGGCCCCTCCGCGGGGCCCGATCCGGCCCCTCCC